TTTTCCTATGTTTTCTCTTTGCAGATTGTTTATCTCCAGTTTTCTCACTCTAAGGGAGCATGTGCATAATATGTTTGTCAATAATATATAATGAACACATTTTATTACGTGTTACTAATGTTTTGGTGTAGAACAGAAGTAAAAACCTTATAAAACTGCAAATTCACTGAATGTGTATAAATATCAGTGGGCACCTGGCATGTTTATTTCTATTTGCCTTTTTCTTTTTTTTTCATTTTTTACATCAGTAGTTATATTTTTCTCTTCCTTTAGTTATAAGTAAATAGCATAGATTGTGTGTGTTTGTATATATAAATCGATATATACATAGCTCAGTACATAAATTGCACGTTGGATATGTCTGAGCTTTTTCTGGGTAGAGGCAAAATCAACAAATGGCTAAAACTTTTGCCTTTAGCATCAGATGCCAGTCATTTGATATACTCTAACATTTTATTGTGTCTCTGACAGTTCTCTATTCACAGGTGCACTGAATACCTTCTGATTTCTTCCTTTTAAAGTCTGTCTTCAGTGTTCGCTTGAACTTACCTATCTGTCTCTATTAAGTTTCTTATAGGATCAACCCCATTTGTTCATTCACTTTAGTTCACTTATGATAGTTCCTTGCTTTCACCTATGATTTCCTTGAAGTGGTTGTATGGAATATACCGTAATCCTGTGAGTAAGTTCCAGTCCTCTTTCTGCCCAGGTCTTGTGACACAAACATATCGAACAAGAGTATTTGGGGGCTTCTTCAGGTCAGACAGGGAGCGGTGCAGCAAAATTTATAACAGAAACAAGACTGATCAATTTTCAAACACAAGCAAAGATATCAGAAACTGTCCCATTTGGTTTAGCGTGAAGGCTGGAATGGTGCGAAATACCAGCGTCATCAATTATGTGATTCTGTATTAGGGACAGGAGAATCCTTCTGAAAACATGCCAGGCACTTTCTTTTGATGTCTTTCTCTTTGATCCCCCAGTTGCTTTGTAGGTTAAAAACTTTCTTCTGAGTTATGATATATGTATGCACAGGATTTTTATCTCCATTTGTCCTTGTTTCAGCATTGTCCTTGTCTTTAATGTTAGTGCTTGACATTCTCTTCTTGATGCACAAAGACAAATCAGTCTTCCCCCTTTTGTTGTACGTTTTGGGCTTCTGGACGAACCCAGTCTCCCAGTGTGCCTTAGTAAGACAGGCCATACAGTCCCTTAATCATTCTTATGTGTCTGTACCAGTTCCAATCCGAATCCTTCTTTTGTGGTAATGGCTCTGCACAGTGTTCACTGAACTCTTACTGGCTTTCTGCACAATAGGCTGAAGATTTCCTAAGCTTACTTGAAAACAGCTTGATGGCTGAATTTTAAACTTTCACTTTTCACAGGCACTGCATTGATGAATTATACACATAATGAGATCAAAACAAGGACCAATTTATTTTATTCAGTCATCACAGTCCATTATCTCCAGCTCATTGCAGAAATCAACATTATTTTATTCTCCCAATGTGAGGCTTTGCATTCTGACTCTTTCTGTACTAGTCTATTCTCAAATTCTGTACCTTTCACCCCATTTTTATTTCAGCTTTAAGGTGACGCTTATGTTCTTTCTGTACAGTCTATCCTCTGTTCATAATAACTCTCTACTTGCTTCTGTCAACAGATTTTGTTAGGACACATCTATATTTTTCAGGGAAAATGTCTCCCAACCCTGTGATTTCAGTAGGGTCTTTCAGATTACTTCCTTACATATTTTGCCTCACCTCTAAATATAAATTCATTCCTTGTCAATAACCTGTCTGGCAGAAAATGGTAGCTCTACTCAAAGGGAACATTGCGTTGAAGGGCTGCCTTAATGACACACCACAGGAAATTATATCCCAAGTCTTCCATATCAGGTTTGGTTAGGAACCTTATATGGACCAAGTTAGGTGGCAGGTGTTTGCTTCATCCAGCACCTACCTTCCAAGTCATCCTTTACATGAGTCAGTGCCAATATAGCAGCTTGGTCTGGCTGGTTTTTAAGCACCTCTCAAAGGGACAGCTCTCCATGATATGCCAACAGCTATTTCTTCATGTGAGCTTAGCATTTAAACCAGCAGCAAGGGTTCATTTGTGTGGGTGGAGAATTAAGATCTGATTCAGTCATTTCCTTCTGTCACATGGAAAGTTCTGGCTGGGACATTACCTCTCCAGGTATCACATTTATCTGAGATCCTAGATGCATTTCTCTGTAGCAGTGTTAGAGAGTGGAAAAAAGTTATTTTGGATCAACTCTTTATTTTGGATCACAACTCTGATGATCTTAGGCAGACTTTCAACTGAAGTAAAATAATTTTACTTTATGCATCAGAGACACTGTAAAAACCACACTCTTGTGCTTGTGTGGAAGTAGGAAAACAAACTTTGTGCAGTCATAGAGTGTAGAAGTGTATTTTGATTGATTGTTCCAAGTCCAGATTCTCTATGGCTCCAAGAGTTCTGGACTGGGCAGAAGCCTGGAATAGTTGTGTATGGATGTTGTCAGGACTCATAACCAAAGAATGACATAGAGAGGCTGCAGTAAAGGATTTTTAAAGTAGAACAGTACGTCCAAATTCTGTTCTTCTGTTTTCTTTAGAGAAGGACTACATTCAATGAAATATACCTTGGGCAGGTGCTGACACCTGCCTCCTCATGACATGTGATATAAAAAAGCTAATCTCAAGAATTATTTTTCATTCCTTTGGAATCTTTCTAAATCAGGGCTGCTAGTGGCTCTAAGAAGAATGTGTAATGGGGTTGTCTGCCTTTAATGGCATTTGTATTTGGAAAGCAAATTCTTATTTCTGGAATTCTCTGTTTCTGTTTGCATCTTTATCATATTTTTTACTAACAACCACAAAACCAAATTAATCCTCAAAATCAATCCACATATTGGCCCAAAAGCAGTATCAAAAGTCAAACTAAGAGCTTAAATATGGACACCAGAGAGCCTTAACAAGGTGCTTACCAAGGTGTGACAGCTAATAAGATTTGTAACAAGCAACATATATGCAATGGAATTAACAGGAATTTGACAGTCACAAATTAAAGTATGGCTCATCCTCAGGTGTTTATGAAGGCCTACTTTAGATATTCCTGTTTTTTGGTCACTAAGTTAACCCAAGCTAATTTACAGGTATTAGTACCTAATCTATCAGATTGTTTTCACTGGTTAGAGACAATAAAAGAATTGCAATATCACTTGACATCATGCACCATAGCAGCTACATCACAGCCACAGACTTCTACATTTGTTAAATATTGCATATCCAGCTGCAGGACTGAAAATGCATCTTCAGGCATGAATTGTTCTTTGCTCAAAATCCAGCACATTACGGTTTCTCAGTGGTGGTTTGTTTTCCTGCTCTGACAGCACAAGCTCTATTAATAATCTGTGTTCATACGGCTACTGGCAAACCAGGAAAGTAAGTGATGTTGTGGCACAGTAGAAACAAGAGCTTTTAATCACACAGCAGTGTTGTCTGGAGGGAAAAAGAGTAAGCCAGTGCTAGATGTGCAGAGGAAGTAGAGAGAGACTGAAACAAGCTCACAGAGAGTTTTATAATCAAGAAGTTCCTTTTGCACTGGGTTCTGAAATTAATGAGCAGCCACTGGAGTTGCCTGACAATGGGGGTGATATGACTTAGTGTCCAGGGATCACAGAAGTTATTCTGAGCCAGACACACTGAATTGTTCATTGTTTTCTCCCACAGAACAGTCTTATAATTCAAGTACTTAATCATAAAGAACAATCAAGTTCTTTCTCACTGGCTTTTCTACCTTTCTCAGAGGGCTGATCATGCCTTGGATAATCATACCCATTTCATCTCAGACGTATGCACCTGATGGTTCCCCTTTCCCTCTCTGCCTGCCTTCTCCTTTGTACTACAGCTCTATCTTCTCCTTCATATTCCATAGCTGTTATTTGCAGATTTCTTTCACAGTTTTCTTGCAGTGATGGCTTTGCTTACAGAAATAAAAGCAGGAAAACCTTAATTCTGCCCCCTCCCATGCTATTGCTGCCTTACTTACACTATTCTGTTCTTGTTCCTTTTTTGCACCTTGGCATACTTTTTCATTAGTGACTCGTTAGCTAGAGATTACCATTTGAAGCTCAAATATCAGGACATTACAGATTTCATTAATCACATTTCTGTTCATGGTCTTGGGTGTTTTTCAGGTTACGTTTCCCAACCACATTCCTCGTCATAGCAGCACCATTGATTTGACTGAAATTCTGCCTTATGCACTCAAATGAGATTTCCTTGAAGGATAATAATGAGAGTTTTGGTCTCAAATTAGTCTGATTTGCAACATTAACCACTGAGTATGTAACAATTACATACATACTCGAATTGTACTTATAAGCTGGTAGTGCTGCCTGATTGCTAGACTCAGATGTGTAAAATCGTTTAAATGGAGTGATGAAAAGTGAGGTGATAATCATGATGGAGAACTAAAAGTATCTTGGAAAAAGAAACTTCAAATTTCACTTTTTAAGGGCAAATTATTTCTAACAGTAACCAATCAAATGCAAGATATTGTGATATTAAAATACTTTTTTGTTTTCTTAAAGATGAAAGAAAAATGAGATTTAAAAAATTCAGAAGGCTTAGTAACATAAAAGTCACCTCAACTTCTGTTTTTGTTGATAAACAAAACCAGAAGCGCATCTCTTTTGGGTTAAGGGAAAAAAAAAACCTGTTCTGGCCCCACTGGGCATTAAAAATGATAAATCTTTGGCACAAGGAAAGATTTTTTAAATTAAATTAAATTTTCTTTACAACTTAAGGCTTTTTTGATTTATACTATCTAGCCCCAAGCAAGGGTCTTAATTATTTTTGATTTATTTCCTTCATTCCTGAGAAAGGTCTTTCAGCTTTTCTTTATTATTTCAGTTCTTCTTCTGTAGGCACATCTATGTTTTCTAGCTCTTATTTTTACTGCTAAGTTTTCATGTTTTATTTCCCTCTTAGGTGAAATACCCCGGTGAAAGCCTTCAGGTCTTACACAAAACTCAGCTTGCTTTCACAAACGTAATGTAAGTTTGGAGACTTTTGATTTTAATTTCAAATTGTTAATTTTTTTCCCCATAATTTCTGTTATGTTACTATAAATCAGATATCCTGTCCCACCCTAAAAAGTTATAAGTTTCTTGAGCTTCAATATGGCCTCTTTTTCCTCTCAGATGCTATTTTTAGGTAAAACATCCTATACAAACTTATGGACTTTTTACCCTAGTGATAAAATGGAGTTTAGTCATATGTTTTCTCTTCTTTATGAGAAATAGTTTTGTTTTCCACTTACTATGTGTATAAATGGACTTACTATGTGTATAAATGGAAAAAAATGTCCTGGCACACTTTTAGGATAATGATAGGAAAATATCCATGCCCAGCACACTTCAGTAATTAGAGCATTCTCCAAGACTGCAAAATCCTCAGTCAGATCTATTCAGAGTCATTAAGCTGTGGCTGCTGCTGTATAACAGGGAAAACGTTCTTTTTTTGCAAGAAGGTCTGTAGGTGCTTTCTGAGCCCTGCCAGGGTGCAGAGTCTCTGCCTGGCAGGAGGATCCTCCTGGGCTGGGGTGTGAGCAGTACCTGGGGCTGCTCTAGCCAAGCCTTACCAGGCAGTCCTGCCAAAATGGAGAATTGTGATGCTGAGTGCCTTACTAGGAAAAAGAAAGCACTGATAGATTTTAGGGATTTCTCAGAGTTTACTGAGTGTGAGTTTGCTCTTTTATATAATATCAGGAGTTTGACTCACCACAGTACCCTCCATGCTAACTGCAGCTCATGTTCAAATACTCAGCCGTTACTTTCCACCCAAATCATCAGAAACACGAGTTTGCCTGCAATGGAGTTCGAAAAAATCAGATTTGATATGACCGAAGCTTAGAGTGCATAAAGTCCACAGGCCAAAACCAACCACAGAATTCAATGCAGCAATAACAGTACACATTTAATATTTTTTTTTGTTTCAAAGGATCAACATGGAATGGGAAAAGCTGGTCAGAAGCCACGAAAATAGCAGAGTAATCAAAAGGTAGATATTGAGAGGATTTTTAGCTCACTCTTAGGTTATGCAGCCAAGAATACATAATTCATCCCATGTTCCTAAAGTAAGAATCTAGCAGAGTGAGACATTAAGGCTGGTGGCTAAAGAAGATAAAAACTAGCTACTGGTGAGCAAACTCATGTTTTATAATAAAATGCATAAACAGGACCCCTTACACATTTCAGCATTTTTACTACAACCAAATACACAGTTCAATTGAACATGGTGAGCTATCTGTGTTGAATTACCTTTGGCCTCATTTGATTACAATTCAAAATGCCAAACCTTGCCTTAATATAACTGGGGGTTGGAATATGAAAATAATTTTTAATCAAACCAAAAGTGAAGTATTGGTTCCTGAGGATGTTTTGTAAGTCTTGAACTTGTCAAGGTTGGCAAGATGACACTTTCTTAATTCAGGAAAATTAAATTAATCCAGAAAGCTCAAAAGTATTAACACAACTTTTTCACTATGTAATATTAAGCAGTTAAACATAGTTCAAGATTTTAGTTTGGGGCTTCTTTATTTACTTTTAAGGAAAACATAAGCAAAAGAAGCCCAAACCCAAAACTGCGAAAAGTAATGTGCAGCACAAAAAGAAGAGAACAAAAGGAAATACAGGAATTATGCAAAGCAATGATAATTCAAGCCTGTTTGCCACAGAGAGGTTATATTATAAAGTTCTATCTTTCATAAGCAACCCATATGAGCAGGAAAGAAGACATTAATTTTAACCATGAAACAACCATGAGCACAACAGTTACTTTTCTAATTTTGACAAAATAGACAGCCAGAAAGAGAAGTACAGGTAGTATAATTTAGGAAAAATTAACTCTAAATATTAGATTTTAAGACGGTTTGTCAGTCACAGATAGATATTTAGAACGGACAAGTTGCGTCTCACATCTATTTCCCTAGGACCTGGCACACTTATTTTGTCTAGGGCTTTTTTTGGCTGGTCTGGTTAGCCCTTCTTCAACTTATCCTTCTCAGGCATTACAGAGGTAGACAGTTTACCTGCTCGTATGCAGGAATAATTTTGAAGATAAGAGTAAAAAATGGCAGAAGAAGGGAAATATGTACAGAGTAAAGTCACAGAAAAGGGGATCAAGATGGAGGGAATCCTTTAACAAAGGTAAAATGCATTATTTTGCTCTGTACATCCTAAAGATCACCAATATAGGGCAGCCTTTGCAAAGAGTAAACTAACTTCCTCCATGAGATTGTCCATGAGTGATTTCATTTGGTTTGGCCTCAAAAGTTTAGATGGGTAGAATTGACAGTTTTCTCATTCTCTGCTCACTAAGCTAACATTTTAAAACAGGGTTCTGATCTATCCCTTTCTACTGGACCTGAGATGATCTCAGTCAACATGATAAAAATAAGTCAGTCTGAATCCTACTTTTTATATTTTTGGCGGCATTCATTTCTTTGCAAACAACAATAGCACTTAGAAAAGTTTCAGCTGCTTCCTACAGGCAGGTTCAGCATCTTCAGTAACTTTCTAAGAAAAGTAGGAGGATGTCACAATGTAATTACTTGAATAAGTATGTTTGACTGGACAGGGTGGGATTTGACTGTACCAAAGCTTCATGAATGAAATGAGGTCACACTTGCCATGATGACTATCATTCAGAGCTCTGAATGAAGTATCTTCAGGTAGAGAAGAATAAAAAAGGTAGAAAACAATTCTACTGATTGATTTTTTTGCCATCTAGTCATCTTTCCTTATAACCACATTGGAAATTAAGCTATGACTCTCTAGAGAGCCAAGAAAAATATTATTCACCCTCTTGCTCAAGCACAGAAATTGCTTGACCTGGTGACTGACATATTATCCGAGTTAAAATTAACATAATGTATAAATGAATAGATTTTTCTCCCTTAATTACTGCATTTTTCTGAAAAGAAAACAAAATATATCTGCTTCAGGTGTTACAGTGTCTCTTTGCCCTTTCAGAAGCCTTTTTGGTGGCCTAGCAGACTTTTTTGCCCTGAAGACATAATTTTTTTTCTTAAATTAGAGTTTTGTGTGATCTTTGTATGAAAAGTCATTTGAAATGTATTAAATACTTTATGTATTAAAGCAAGAGAATATATTTCGTCCAATCAAAAGTATTAAAAAATAGTTCTAGAGTAATTACTTAATTTTAACTTTGGAGATGTTCATTCTGCCCCTATGGAACAAAGGGAGGAATGCAAAGGTTTTATATTTTGTTCTTTCTTTTAACCTTTAAATATTGCATATTTATTTTTTCTGTCTTTCTGAGTCTTTTTTCTCATTCTCTAGCTGTGAGAATTACTCAGCTATCAGGTTATGGTAGCACAATTTATTCTATTAATGTTACAATTAGCTCTGTAATTATTAGCCTGATTTTTGACCTATTTATTCTGCTTAAAATCTGCAGGGCAAAACGCTTCTGGCCATGTCTCTTACCAAGAGAAATACTCCAGGAGGCAAAAGTTAATTGGGCTAAACTTTTTCGATGAGGAAAAGAAAGGGAAAAGAAGAATAAAAAAGCAACAAGCTTATTCTGAAAAGTCTATTTTTTTAATTGTATTGTATTCTTTGATATTTGTATGAAATTGTCAAGGCAGACTTCAGAAAGTCTGAAAGTATGAGCACAGACTTCTGAAACTGCTGAAAAATCCCAGCACCTGAAATTCGAAGCAGGCATAGTTTTGGAGACCATCTCCTCAAGTACCAGACAGGGAGCTATGAAGATATTTGGAACATGATAGTTTATAAAATAACATAAATGTTTACCTGAGAATAAATATCTATATGTAAAAGGCGCATAATATTTTCTCAGTAATAACAATAAATTTTAGCAATATTAAAGGCAGAATAACCTCTGAGGTTGCAAACACTGGTAATTTTATGTATTACTTAAAAATCTTACAAGAATTTATCCTTGTTTTACACAAAACAATAAACAATTCATTTGAAAAAAAAAATGACAGCTGCAAAACTGAGAATTCTTAATTCCCGAAATAATTTATTGTAACCTCGGCTCAATATGTTTCTTTTAATTACTGATAAACCAGCCTTTTACACTCAGCTGGCATAATGCCTCTCACTGTCTACTATCTCTACAAAATCCCAATTCTCCAAAAATCCATATCTATTATCTTCTAGGCACTAATTTGATGTGCAATTGCAACAGAAGATCTCTCTTAACAACTCCACATCAATCCACCAAATATTAATCACTAGAAAATTACTGACACTTCTTATGATTTTCTTTCTTTCACATTCCACACCCAGCACTGTCTCTGTTCCACCATTTGGCCCATTTTCTCATTAATTCTTCAGTGCAAACAGTGTTTACAATGCCCAGCAATTCTAACTTGATTCCTCTGAACCATTTGACACAGCTCAGGCAGCTTACCAAAGAATTCAGCCTATGGCTGCATGAACTCTTGAAGGAATCAGAAACTATACTACATAGATAAGCATTATACATAAGTACTTGTTGTCATGGTTACACAGATAGGCTCACTTCTGATTTTTCCCTGTTCCTTCTGAATAGGAAATAGAGATCCAGGGAGACTCTCAAGCCCCACTCAACAGACATTCGTGCAATTTTAAATGTGTACGTGTCTGAGAAAAAGAAAAAATGAGTGGGTGGGCTGTAATCCATCTACTTCATCTTTTAAAATATTTATAGATAGCACAGTGTAAGTCAACAAAAATAAAAGGAGCCTGTACAGGTTTCACTGCATTTTTCAGAGCCAAAATAGTGTTTTGCTGTCAGGGAAATCAAAATAAAGTAGTTAAACAAAGTATTGTAAAGAGCAAATAGACCTGAGAACCTGTCAATGCATTATTTCAGTAGACATTTTAAGTAACCAGACCTTCTTTGAGAAATGCATGAGAAAAAAATTGTATATATTGCTCTAAGCAGAAAATAATGAAAGATAAACAAAATATATATGTTGTTATCTTTGACACATATGTGCCCTGCACAAGTCCATAACTCAACATAACTATTGAGTACTTCAAACCTTAAACTTAAGTTGTATGATAGCAGTTCCAAAATAGATAATGCAACTTCTGAGTAAGAAATTATACTCTATTGATTGAGGTGTGAAACAGGTATTTAATGCATGGTTATCTCCTTATCAGACCACCAAGCTGTGATTAAATTGTTTGCTTGACTTCTTAGCTGCTCACATAAATATTTAAATGATTTCACTGTTTACATATTTGCAAGTTATTGACATTTAGCCTCCAACCACATCTGAGTGTCTGGGCCAAGAATCTTTATAAAATCTGGTATCTAGTCAGCAGATAACTATGACTCACTATTTTTGGGGTGGATTCAGGTATTCTCTTACAATAGGCAAGTTATTGTGTCCCCTCTGTGGACCAGATGTTCTCACCAGGGACTCACTTTTTCACACATGCACTGTTTTTTTCCTTAAGGACGAGTAGCTGAAGGTGAAGATAATAACTGAGAAATTAAGACCTGCTCCAGCAAAACACCTAACCATGCAATGAAGTGTAAGTAAATAAGGAGTCCTCTTTAATCATAAAGGTCTCTATTCCGCAGAAATACACAATCAAAATTAAAATGATCTGGTGACTTGTTGCATTAATTGACATATATAATACTTTCATGTTTTATCAAGCGTTATGGTAATGTGTTTCTATTGTTTAGTTAAATTATACCTTTTTAAAAATGCTTTTCAATGAAACCAATATGTAAATTATTTTTTCATATTAATATTAATATAATCTGAATTTGCTGATTTAATTTTGTTTCCAAGGAAACTGCCTGGGAATTTTTCCCATGATTTTACATTTTTTAAAATTAATTTTCTTGTCCCTTATTTGGGGCAAAGGTTTATATGTATTTTTCTACAGAATAGTTTTTTCCCAAATAAAGTTTGTATAAAGTTTCAACTGCTTGGTTATCCCTCCACAACATTATTTCTTTGGGTTTGTTTACTGTTCATACTAGTTTGATTTTTTTTTTTTTTACTTCTTTTTTTAACTTTCTTGCCTTGTGATATTTTAGCCAGCTCTTTCTGGTCTCATTCCTTTTAGCTGTGAGTAAGATAGGTCTGCAAATACTGGGGTAACTTTTGTTGTTACAGAAAAGTCTGTTAAAAATATAAAGTCAAGGGAAAACACCAAGTATGTCAACTCCAAAAAGCCAGCCAAATAGTTTTTTTGAGAATAAGGCAATGAGAAATCACTTAGTGATCCATGCCAGCACAGGTCAAGTAATGGCATTAAGTAATTTGAACTCTAATCAGGTTCACTGTGAAGATGCTCTGGGTTAAAACATAGTAGGAATGTGATTCTGTCTGGTGAACTGGAGTGAGAGTGTTTTGCTTTTACTCACATCCTCCAGGCTTTGGGCAGCAGATTATTATGGGTATGACAGCTGAGAAAAAGTTGAACATTGGATAATAGAAAGTCACAGTGGTACAAGGAACTCCAGAGCCTGTGCTTTCAAACTCAACTTCTTTTTGTGAAATATGCCTTTTAGTTTGTTTTGAATGCCTAAAGTGCCTTTTATGCACTGTCTGCAGGCTATTTTAAAATATATTATTGTGACCTTTGTGACCCTCTAGATGATTATTCTGCTTTGCTTTGCACATTTTTTCTGCTGTCTTTTTTAACTCTTCCCTTGCCTATTCTTTTATATTTTTAATCTATTTCCTGAAATACTTCTCTCATTTTATAAATAAAAGGTTTCTATCTGATGCCTGCTGCTTCACCATGCACTCAAGAAACTCTTTACTTTTAATCTCTTGCCTATAGTCTGGAAGATGGGAGTCATTTTAAAATTTGTTAGATATTTGTAATAGATTTTTCTTCTTTTACTGATAATATGCTTTCTTCATAATGAAAAATAAAATACAGGCTAATTCCTCAGATAAACACATTCCAAAATTATACTTACATATTTTATCTTATTTTCTTGACTGGAGCTAGAATAACCAAAAAGGCTTGAAGAATCAGGAATCAGAGTTGGGCTGTTTTTTCATTCAAAAGAAAAAAAAATCAGGAGGAAAATATGAGAAAGTTCTCTTTGGTGCTCTTCAAGAATGATGTCCTGTTGGTAAAGCAGTGTGGTAGCTTGACCTTGGCTGAATGCCAGATGCTCACCAAGCTGTTCTATCTCTCCCTATCCCTGCTGGACAGGGGAGAGAAAATAAGATGTGAAAGCAATGATATATATATCATATAGATAATGATATATAATGCAGAAGCAAAAGTTTGGATGTAAACGCAAAAACAAATAGGTTTATTCTCTACTTCTCATCTGCAATAAATGTTCAGCTTCTACCTGGGAAGCAGAGTTACAGCACACATAGACATTGCCCTGGAATGTCTCAGATTCTCACTCATGTGGAATTGCCTTTCTGCTTCATTCAAGTCTGGCCTACCTGCTTATCTCCATACCTCTAGGACATGTCAATGCTGTGCTCCACCTGGAGACCACTCCAAAGCACTGTGGATTTTTAGTACCGTGCTTCTCACACACTAATACAGACCACTTCTGAGCAAGGTTAGGAAAAAGGAAAGGGGTATTTATGAGAGGTCTTAGAGTCAGCTCCCATACCACTCTTGAAATGCAGTTGGTGTAGGCATATCACTATGTTATATCTACAACATTGAGTTCATTTGTAGATATCATTTTATAAGACAGATGTTGACAAATTATAGGAAAGGACAAAATTAGAGGAAAGGACAGTTGCATTAATTGAGGTTGCTCAAATTGAAAGAAAGTGATTATTTATAGTAGTAAATGGTGCAATAATTATGAAAAATTGAATGAAATTAAGATAAAAGTATTTAAACAGAATATTAGAAAGTGTTCTCTGACAGTGAGATGTATGAAGCTTCAGTTTCAAAAGAGAGGTGGTAGGATTCTCATTGCCCGAAGCACTTGGAACTATACAGGAAGAGAAATGTTGAAAATCCTGGGAAGTGTCTGTGCCTGAACTGGCATGAGAACTGAGTGACCTTTTCCTTCTTTTATTCTGTGAATATTTAAAATGGGAATTTTAAAAGACTTAAATAGCCATGTCAAAAATGATACCTACCTTTTCTGGTATTTTCAGATATTTTCCTTCTTTTTTTTCCTTAATTAGTATGGAAATGTCACTGAATACATTAACTGACACACTCTTTATCTCACTAAATTCCTTCTTCTCCTTGTTAATATTACATCTAGCTTATAGTGACCATTAATTGATTTTTCTCTATCTTTCATAATTTTCCGTTGACATGCATTGCCAATAGCTCTTTCATCTCAGAATAATATCAGTTTTGATGGTTATTTAATTTTCCATCTAAGGAGAATTACTCTGAGAATTTCCCTACTGTGCATAACACTGTTGAGATAACTGGTCTGGTAAATAAGTTATATCACAAGGATTTAATTTTTTAGTTCTAGACCTCCACCTGATTCTCTCTAAAATTTTTCAAAGTTTTTGTTCATTCCCTTGTTTTGGTTTGTTTCTGTAAGACCAAAATGTAGCCTATGTATACCTTTGTATTCTGCAATATATATAATATGAAAACAATTGTTTTTATCAACTATATCTTTCATGCTGCTCAAAATTGAAATTGCCTGTAGAAACAGCATTTCCAATGCAGACTTAGAACAATACTTGCAGATGTGTTACTGCTTATCAGAGCCTTAATGAAAGATCCAGCACAACAAATTTATTGGCATTAAACCCTTTACTCGAAAGACATCCATGTTGTAAGTACTCAGTTCAATCCTTTGGATCTACAGGTACAGTTTTCCTGTTCTAAATCACTCCATCTCAGTTCTGGGCTTTTAATTCAGCAGTAAGCATCCCTCCTGTTTCCTCTGATGACTCTGCCAAAGCACATGCACTTTCAGCTCCTCCTCAGTCATCTCCAGGCTGGATTTTTTTTTTTTTTTTTTTTTTTTTTAAATGGGAGCTGTCTGAAGCAGTTATCCTGTGCTTGTAAATTCAATATCAGGTTTTCCATAATTTTTCATGGTTTCTGTCCATTTACAAGTTCAGTAACTTTTTAACTAAAAAAAAAAATTGGATTTGATTTTTTTCCTTCCACTGCTACAAACTTTATCTTTTGCAAAACTATTTTTTTCTACACCCTTGGCATACTCAGTGAGATGGGCTAAACTCATCTCTGCAAATCATCAGTTTCACCTTAGTCACCCACCTGCTGCTGACTTACCTAGTAGTGACAGCATCCTCAGGACTCTCCTGACTTTAAAAGGTGTGTGAGATATTAAAAACAAAAGCCATCTCCTTTGCATCCTGATAGTCTTGTATTGTCAAATATTGCTTTTTGAATATTCTCCCTGAGCATGCAGCACTGGACACTTTGTCCTTTCTAAACACCTTTCTTTGTCTCTTGCCATGGATACAGTTCAGTGTAGTCCTTTCTGTCTCAGACTCCCTCCTAATGTCTGGTTTTTATCACAAAATATTCAGATTTTTTTTTTAATAAATACTGAGGTCATTGTCTTTTTTAATACAAATGTCCTTTCCTGAATTAGTTTGGTTTCTTTTGTGTTGGCCATGGTGAGTCTTTTTCATATTTTTCAGTCTTTGTGATAGTTCATGCAGGACTTCTAAGGATTTGTCCTGAGTCTTTCATGGCACGACTCCTCTAGGCTTTTTCTTTAAAAAAAAAAATCTGATTTCCTAATGAAGCATCTATAACTCCTTCATTCCTCCTTTGTGCCACTTCATCATTAGCATTAATGTTCTTCTGTGGTCATCTTTTTCCAAAATACCACTGAAATAGAAATCAAATCACCTTTATACTTCATTTTCACAGGAAGCACAGCACTTTCCAGACCATTAACACAGAAGTCCATTGTTAATTTCCTCTGCCTGATTTAACTGAAAACTACTAAAACATTAAGTTGCTTCAGAAGCAGCTTCTTTCAGAAATATATTGCTTATTTTTGTCACTCTATTCATTGCAATTGCAGGATAAAGCAAAATTAAACCCCTTTTTTCCAGTTGCACTCAACATTCCCCTGCTGCTCAGAGTAAAAAACTGATCAGCCCTTTCTTCTGTATTGTCTCCTTAACTCCTCTGTGTGGTAGTTCTCCCTAATCTGCATTCCTTCTCCTTGGGCCCTCTATTATTTAAGAGTTTGGACTGACGTGCTATGGAGGAGAGGAGACAGTTTTTCTGACATTACTGCCACACTGATAATGATGTAATGAATTATTTTCACTTCCTTAGACAAGCAGTTCATAAAAATATTTATGTTGCTACTTCAGACTGGTATCTACTGAGATAGAAGACCAAAGAATCTGTTTGCAGGAAAAAATATGGTCATGAATTTGTCTGGAATTGCTTAAGTCAATGAGAGAAGGAAGGTTCTGAAATTAAGATATTTATTAGGCAGATCCAAGAGTAGGAAAGAAACAAGGTGATGTTTAAGGAATGTGACAGAGCCCTATGGATGGGAAGACAAAGTGAAGCCCATCCCATCCTATCGTTTAATGTCTACTGCTGCTAAAATG